AATCAACGCGTTTCATCCCCGTCCCCACATGCAGGCCATCCCCATTGCCAGCAACTAGTATGCCACTTGTCTCGTAAATTACGGACAAGTGCCCCTTCTAAGGCGACCCAAGAGGACATTCTTGTCAATCGCAGTCCAATAAATGCTCAACGCTTGTCAATGGCAGTCCAATTAATGCTCGATGCTTCCATCCGCTCCTCTCGCCTGCAGGCCATCCTCATCGCCAACAACGAGGAATTCACCCGCCTCGTGGGCTACCGCCTAAAGGGCCTCTCTCTCACAATCCATAGGCAACCCAGGACCCCACATCTGTGAATCGTAATGCCCTCCGCGCCCTTCATCCCAATGGTGTGCCATCAGGCCATCCTCATCGCCAACATCAAGAAATCCACTTCTCGTGGACTACGATGGGGGCTTGTGCTGACCTGGCAATCACAATGCATTGAGTGCTCAATGCCCTTCATTGCCGTCACTCCCATGTGTGTCTGCAGGCCATCCCCATCGCCAACAATGAGTAGTTCACTCGCCTGGACACCTCTTCATGCCCCATTCGTGCCCATCCCCTTCCCCATCACCACTGCAGGCCATCCCCATTGCCAACAATGAGGAGTTCACTCGCCTCATAGATTACCGCCTGGAAGGCCGCTTTGACCCCGCACAGCTGCAGGCGGTGTCCATGCTGGTTGTGCTCTGCCTCGCCTCCAACCCCAAGCATAGACCGACAATGGATTAGGTGAGATATGTATGACCATGTGCTCGCAGGTGCATTGTCATTTCATTTGGGCAGGCGGATGCTGGCAGTGCTGTGCCTTGCCTCCAACCCCAAGCACAGACTGTCCGTGGACCAGGTGAACTGAATGTGCTGACTTCAGGACTTGATAGCTGTCTTGGGTGGTGGCTTGGCAAGTGGGTAAAATTTCTAGGAAGTTGTAGGCAGGCTTTATCTCACTCTGTATTTCGTATGAATGAACACATGTTTTCCCCCTCTTTCAATCGTGTTTTTCATTGTCACGCAGGTTGTTACCTGGCTGAGGGACTGGATAAGGGTTCGCACCACAGAGCAAATACAAACATCTTAGGCCATACTGTACGAATTTGCATTACACGGTGTAGGCTACTTACTACGCTGTCTACATTTCTTGGGTTGCGTTATATCCAGCTACCGTGCCTTCCGGCGGCGCGCAATGCCCCGACGTCGTTGACCCCGACGAGCCTGCAATAATTGTCTGACCCTCCAATAATGGCGCCGAGCCAGCCTTCATCCTTTCACTTCGGCGTGTGTTTGCGAAAGTTTCAGCGTGTCCCGCGACCCGTTTCGACAGCGGTTCCTCTATCTCCTATCACTTCGCAAATCATCGCTGCCTTGTGATCAAGTGCACCTCACGCGCCACACCGCATACAAGGCGCCGACAGTGCCAGCAAGCTCTTCCACTAGTCGGCCCAACCACGAGCCCCATCCACACACTACGTACATAAACAGCGAGGTTTCCCCGTCCCATCGCATAGCAATTCCGCGTTTAGGGGGTGTTCAGTCCATATAAACAAGGGATGGGTTCTCGAGCATTTCTCGCTTTCTCATAGCAAGTTTCGATGCCTCAACAGCTGGGAGGCGTATTGTCCGACGGTAACATCTATGTGCACTTTCGACTTCTAGGACGTTTTGAAGGAGGTGAAGCATCACGCGTTGCAGGGAACTCGCCCCACGCCAGTCTCGGATTCTGCAAAAGCTGTGCCCCTGGCGAAACGCGGATTATTCCTCGATTCCTGGTGAGCACAGCGAACTCCTTTGAGCTGGTGCCACTTGCACGCTGTTATTATTTTTAATCTTCTAGAGAAGCATCTGTTTTATTGACATACATGCGCTGGACAATCGTATGCTCCCCGAACCACATCTGAACCCGCTTCACAACCTAACTAAATCACGCGCAAGCACACAACACGGCCCCTGAAATACTACTACCAGTCCACGTATCTAAAAGCTTCATGCCTTGACGCACTCGTGCGGCTTTCCCTGCACCGATTTGTACCCACTCGCACACCTGCACTTGAACTGCCCTCCACCTGCCGGAACGCACACGCCGTGGCCCGAGCACGGACCATTCTTCTTACTCGTCCCGCAAAACAGTCTGCACGCTGACGCACTCCGCTGCTGTTTCATGTTACACGTGACGCTCTTACCGAGACAGTTCAGCGCCGCGAGATACTCGTCGTCGCCTGAGTCGGGATCCTCCTGCCCCTCCTCCGGGCAGACCTTGTAATTATACATTGTAAACTCCGGGCTGCCCCAGAAATAGTTCCCGCGCACGTCTACCGGCGGCTCCTCCTCCCCGCCCATGAACCAGAAATTCGGCATGGGCCCCGAGAAGAGATTGAAGGAGATGTTGAAATGTGCCACGTGGCTTTTCTTAAACGCATCTGCAGGAATCGCGCCCACGAACGCGTTGCGCTGGAGCCGCACGAACTCTAACGCTGGCGCGGTTTTAAAAGCTGCCCAGGGGAATTCTCCGTTTAGCTTGTTATACGAAAGGTCCAAGTCGTACAGCTTCGGCATGTTTTGTATTACAGCCGCGGGCACGGATCCCTTCAGCTTATTCCCAGTCAGGTACAGGTACTCCAGTTTTTTCATCTGCCCGAGCTGGGACGGCACACTGCCCGAAAGAGTGTTCCAACTGAGGTCAATGTTTGTCAAAGATGGATGGCTCGCGAGTTCGGCGATAGACGAAGCTGCTTGCTGAGTGAAACGATTACTCTGAATATTCAACTCTTCGAGGCTCTGCATAGAGAGTATAACATTTGCGGGAAGTGCGCCCGAGAGTTTGTTACTCCCAAGTCGCAGGCTCGTCATACCCGTGAGGTAGCCGAGGGTCGGTGGAATCGATCCCGTCAGCCGATTCCCGCTCAATTCAAGTGTCTTGAGAGCCGCCAGCGCTGACAGTTCCCGAGGGATTTCGCCACTGAGACGGTTCCATTGGAGGTCGAGGCGCGTGAGGCGACTGAGTTGCGAGATCCCGCGTGGGATGCTACCTGTGAGCCCCGTTCCCTGGAGCACGAGCTCCGTCAGGCGGATGAAATTGATGATATAATCTGGGAGGTTACCGGAGAGGACGCCATGTCTGTTGTAGTCGATCGCGATCGACTCGAGCTTCTTCAATTTCGCGAGGCTCTTGGGCAGGCTGCCAGAGATGCGCCAAATGCCGGACACACCGAGCGACGTCAGCTCCGTCAGCTTCCCAACGGATTCCGTCAACTCGCCGGTGCATGCTACTCCCATTGCGAGGTAGCTGGAGATGTATAGACCGGTAACCATTCCGCGTTTGTCGCACCCGACGCCGTACCATTCAGAGCAGTCGGCGCCGGCTACCCACGTATTGATTATCGGACAGTCACGCCATGCGGTTTTCAAGGAAAGTAGGGCGTTTTCTTGCGAGGGGATAAGGCGAACGGCGTTGGAGTGAAGAACAGCGAATGCAAGTAGTGAGAGTAGCAGGCTAACGCGCGCGATCAAGGACGATGTCATTCTAGCTTTTTAAGAGAACGAAGGAACAAGGCTCAGCTTGTGTTGATACTTAGATTGAGGCTTAACGGCGAAAGATTTATATTAGGACTCGCTGTTTGGTGGTGGAAAGGAAAGTTGTGTCGCTAAGAGTCGATGCTGGTAAATGAGAGAGTCGTCAGTGTTATATACTTTGCGCGAAAGGCATCAAGCTGGCGGCGCAACTCGATTTTCACTGCGGGACTGGCAGGCTCACCCGCAACGAAGCTCATTTCTGCTGACACTGAAATGCATTGGGAAGTTTTTGGAGGGCGTATTTCAAAGCAATAAATACTTCTGCTTGATTCGGGTTGGGCAAGGATTCCGCATCATTGTTGTTCGGGATGGAATCTTGGTGGTGTTCTTGTCTCTCTGCGATTGAGTGGCACTAGGAAGTACCGAAAACTGAAATCAGGGGTAGGGGACGGCTGAGGGGCCAGGGCTTTGCAAAAGCACAACAGCTCCTTCGCAAAGGCGTCGGTAACTGAAATGTGCATCGCGAATGCTGCTTGTTGAGTTGCCACGTGGTTCAAAAAGAGGAACATTTGTGACAACCTGTCCCCCTCCAGACCCACCCACCCGCCCCTTTCGCTGCTGAAACCAAGCGGGCATGGATGACGGCGCGCGTGGCGCAGCTGACGTGGATCCTTGTGCCGAGGCGCTGGCGGCTTGAAATGTCAATGTCCATTCTCTAAATTTATGTTTCAGCTCAAGCAGCTAAAGGTGAAAGTCAGGATTCAAATAACTGTAAGCTTTCTTATATTGCAATGCAGGTACCTTATAATGTGTGCCATTCATTGGGTCATGCGTGGTCTACACGAAAATGTGTCCTCGTTACAACACCTGTTCAGTAAGTGCACCGCACCTTCCTCCACGTCATGCCACACGCAACCTCCCCGCATGCGCGCTACGGTTGTATTTCCGCCAGACTATCTGGTCTGCCAGTCAGCCTCCCACTCTCCGCCCCGCCACAAATATCCTCCATAGTCAGATGCGAGCTCGACGAAATTATTGTCGAGAATTGTCGTCTCCTCCACGGGCTCTGCCAGTCCCATGAGTTGGTAACCCGAATTTCGTCTCTAAGTTTCTGTTAGCTCCGGAGCTGCTGGGGGGGGGGGGGGGGGGGGGAAAGTGAATACATGCAGATTCCTGACACGTGCAGAAAATGTGAGATTACCGCACTGTGGTTCTCTGCATCGCGCATTGTAGCGACGAAACCTCTCTGCATCGTACAAACGGAACAATGAATGGAGAACATTCGGCAGCTAGTACAAATTCTGTTGAATGTGTTATTTGCTAGTTATTCAAGCCAGGGAGTAGGATCTTGAATATGCTCATCGTCGCGTAGTCTGGGTTCCGCTGTTTGCTAGGTTTCTGATAGAACCGTTTAATGTGTTGAGAAATCGTAACCTTATTCCCGTGCTCGATACTGTAGTTGTTACACTCGTTTCGCGAGCGTCGGTCGACAATGGAGTCGCACGTGGCGAAGCATCAGTGGCTCGAGACCCTCGAGCGGTTCGCGTTCTCGCCCGACCGTGCCGCGGTTGTCTCGTCGCTCGTTCCCGGAAGGTTCTTGCGCCTCTTTTTCAGCGGTACAGTCCCTGCCGTCCCTTATGCGACGATTATTGCTCGCTCCTCCCTCGTTCCATTTATTCCCTTTTGTCTCCGCACCCCCGTTCACATACCTACTCCGCGTTTCCTCGTGCGTAATCATACTTTCGCTCCCGCCCTCCTCCGCCGTCCCCTTCCCGCTGCCCCTCCCCATCCCCTCGGCCTCCCCCGTTTCGTGCTTTCTCCGACAGCGCTGCAAGCCATCGAGGCGGGGGACACTGCGGAGGCGCGCGCCCTTATCGCCACTCTCCGCGAAGCCGCGGGTCTCAAGCCCGCGTCCGGGGACCCCTCTTCCTCCTCCCCCGCGCCTCCGCGCAAGTCGGCGTTCAAATCGCGCGACGCGCCGCCGAAGCTCTCGAGCGTGACGGCGGACGCCGCGTTTCTCGGGCCGGGCGGCCTCGTTCGTCTTATTCAGGAGCTCGAGCTGCGGCTCGCTGTGGCCCTCTGGGACTCTGGAGAGCGCGACTCGTGCGTTGACATCATAAAGAAGGTATTGCTGCGCTGAAATTTGTTTAAAAGGTTCGTCGCTGTGTTGACATACTGGAATGGTACTACTGGTTTGACGTATTTTTATAAGGTAACTTGCGGCGTTGACATAATTATGGTGAATGGTGATGGACTATTTTTGTTTGTTGTCTGTTTGCTTGTTTTTGTTGTTTTTTTCTGCCTTTTTCTTCCTTTCTTGCTGGATTTTGTTAACGTTTGACGTGTCTATTTTTCAATCAGCTCAAGGCTTCCCCCATCTCAAGGCTTCCCCCATCTCAAGGCTTCCCCCATCTCTTCCCACACACACCCGCATCGCTCATGCTACATTCCCTTTCCGCCCACACTTCCCCCCTTGTCCGCCACCTCCCTCCGCCCTTACCCCCGCCCAACCCTTCACAAATGCCCCCCTTCTCTCCTCCCCCTTCCGCAACCCCCCTCCCGCCCTCCACCCCTCGTCCGGCTGGCGACCAATCAGGAGCTGAATGTGACGCTCAACACCGCCCTTCCTGCTAGCATCGCCGCAGAGCCTGCTGCCCCCGCTATAGTGCCGGCTTTTGATGTGACAATAGAGGATGCGGAGGGGGCAGTGGCGGCTGTAGCGCCAGCTGTAGCACCCGCCACAGCTGCAGCGGGGACTGAAACAGCTGGTGTGGCAACAGCAATTGCTGCAGGAGGCGGTTCAGGTGGTGTTTCAGGTGATTCTGGTGCCAGTGGGACATCCGCCCTCTCCTCATTCCCCTCCACTCTGCCGCCCGAGTTCGCTGACCATTTGTCTCTTCTGGAGCTGACGTGGCAGCGGCATGGGTGGCAGGGGCTCAAGGAGGGGGGGCTTGCGCCAGTGCTGGCGCGCCTGCTGGCAAAGGGGGAGGCGGAGGGGCAGGGGGGAGGGTCGGGGGGAGGGTTTGGGGGAGCGTCTGGGCGGGGGGTTGGGGTGGGGGCGCTGGTGGGGGAAGCTGCGGGGTGGGTGGGGGGAGCGGTTGGGTGGATAAAGGGGAAGGGGGGAGGCTGGAGGAGGGGAGAAGGTATGCAGAAGGTTCCGTTTTGGCTGCAAGAACCGAGTGACAAGAAGTCAGTGCAGCAGCTGCTGATGGTGAGAGAGGGGAGGGGAGGGGGAAGGGGGAGTGGAGAGGGGGGGTGAGGGATTGTAAGAATTGAGAGGAAGAGGATAAAGGGGGATGGAGGGGAAGATGGGATGAGGCCACTCGACTTGTTCCCTCTCCCCTCCCTTGCTTGCATTGACAGCTTTGACTCCCGCCTGTCCACGTCAGCACAGCATGTGCTCGCCCTGCCCCTCCCTTCTCTTCCCCTCTTGTACCCTCGCTCTCCCTTCCTCCCCCACCACTTTCCTCCCCTTTTGCTCTTACCCAACAGGTGCGGCGCCCATCATGACCCGGCATAGGAGACGCCTCTCTCCCCCATCATGGCTGCACTGCATTCATAGCAGCTGCCTTTTGAGTCGACTCAAAAGTCACCTCACTGCATGCATAGCAGCTGCAACCATGCCTCCGTAATCCCCCTCCTTGTGCTCTCTCCCCTCCTTGTGCTCTCTCCCCTCTTCCATCCCCCCATCTTCCGGCTAGAGGACCCCCTGGCATGGAAGATGCAGCGATGGGAGAAGACCAAACCTGACCTCCTCTCGCTTCCTCCGTTTCCTGTCCCCGACCCTGCTTCCTCCGTTTCCTGTCCCCGACCCTGCTTCCTCCGTTTCCTGTCCCCGACCCTGCTTCCTCCGTTTCCTGTCCCCGACCCTGCTTCCTCCGTTTCCTGTCCCCGACCCTGCTTCCTCCGTTTCCTGTCCCCGACCCTGCTTCCTCCGTTTCCTGTCCCCGACCCTGCTTCCTCCGTTTCCTGTCCCCGACCCTGCTTCCTCCGTTTCCTGTCCCCGACCCTGCTTCCTCCGTTTCCTGTCCCCGACCCTGCTTCCTCCGTTTCCTGTCCCCGACCCTGCTTCCTCCGTTTCCTGTCCCCGACCCTGCTTCCTCCGTTTCCTGTCCCCGACCCTGCTTCCTCCGTTCCTGTCCCCGACCCTGCTTCCTCCGTTTCCTGTCCCCGACCCTGCTTCCTCCGTTTCCTGTCCCCGACCCTGCTTCCTCCGTTTCCTGTCCCCGACCCTGCTTCCTCCGTTTCCTGTCCCGACCCTGCTTCCTCCGTTTCCTGTCCCCGACCCTGCTTCCTCCGTTTCCTGTCCCCGACCCTGCTTCCTCCGTTTCCTGTCCCCGACCCTGCTTCCTCCGTTTCCTGTCCCCGACCCTGCTTCCTCCGTTTCCTGTCCCCGACCCTGCTTCCTCCGTTTCCTGTCCCCGACCCTGCTTCCTCCGTTTCCTGTCCCCGACCCTGCTTCCTCCGTTTCCTGTCCCCGACCCTGCTTCCTCCGTTTCCTGTCCCCGACCCTGCTTCCTCCGTTTCCTGTCCCCGACCCTGCTTCCTCCGTTTCCTGTCCCCGACCCTGCTTCCTCCGTTTCCTGTCCCCGACCCTGCTTCCTCCGTTTCCTGTCCCCGACCCTGCTTCCTCCGTTTCCTGTCCCCGACCCTGCTTCCTCCGTTTCCTGTCCCCGACCCTGCTTCCTCCGTTTCCTGTCCCCGACCCTGCTTCCTCCGTTTCCTGTCCCCGACCCTGCTTCCTCCGTTTCCTGTCCCCGACCCTGCTTCCTCCGTTTCCTGTCCCCGACCCTGCTTCCTCCGTTTCCTGTCCCCGACCCTGCTTCCTCCGTTTCCTGTCCCCGACCCTGCTTCCTCTCTCAAACGGTCCTCTCTCTCCCTCACTCTCCCCAACAAGTGCGGCGCCCCTCGCTGCCCCGCATGGAATGGGAGCTGCAGCGATGAGAGACGGCCAAGCCTGTGCTCCTTGATTTCCCCTGTCTCCCCCCCCCCCCCTCTCTTTACCCTGCTTCCTCTCTCCGCCCTGCATGTGCGTCGCCCCTCGCTGCCCCGACTAGAGGGCGCCATGGCATGGGAGCTGCAGCGATGGGAGGTCAATGAGCCGCCGACTTTCCTCTCCCGTCTGCCTTTTTCCGTCTCCCTCTCCCCTCCCCCCCAGCATGTCTTTTGAGGCGCCTCAAACGTCTCCCTCTCCCCTCCCCCCCAGCATGTGCGGCGCCCATCGCTGCCCCGACTGGAGGACGCCGTGGCATGGGAGCTGCACTGAAGTGATGCATCCGCACCCCCCCTCCCCTCCCCCACCCCTCTCTCCCATCCCCTCTTCCATCTCCCAGCATGTGCATCGCCCCTCGATGCCCCGCTTAGAGGACGCCGTGGCATGGGAGCTGCAGCGGCTGGAGCGCGATGAGCCGGATGCCTTCAGCCGACTCAGGTAGGCCCCACCAACTCAACTCACGGGGCATTGCCTTCTGAGATACCTTGCCACGGGGCATTGCCTTCTGAGATACCTTGCCACGGGGCATTGCCTTCTGAGATACCTTGCCACGGGGCATTGCCTTCTGAGATACCTTGCCACGGGGCATTGCCTTCTGAGATACCTTGCCACGGGGCATTGCCTTCTGAGATACCTTGCCACGGGGCATTGCCTTCTGAGATACCTTGCCACGGGGCATTGCCTTCTGAGATACCTTGCCACGGGGCATTGCCTTCTGAGATACCTTGCCACGGGGCATTGCCTTCTGAGATACCTTGCCACGGGGCATTGCCTTCTGAGATACCTTGCCACGGGGCATTGCCTTCTGAGATACCTTGCCACGGGGCGTTTCAACTGTGTCGGTGTTTGTTTCTTTGTTTGTTTTTTTTTTTTGTTTTCCCCTTAGAAATGTCTCTTATTTTGCTTCTCATCCAATAATTTCCCTAGTCCACATATCCTCCTCTGTAGCACCCACTCCCCCTGCTCTGCCCTCTTCCTATCTCTATTCTCCCAAATCGCCCTTCCCACCCGTATTTTCTCTCTCTTCCTTCTCTACCCGCTTCTCCTTGCCCCCTTCCACCTCATGTTTCCCCTCATCCTCCCCCTGCTCATTTCTCCTCCCCCCCCCCCCCAATCCCTCCTCTTCCCTCTCCCCTCATTTCCTGATGTTTCACCCCTCCCCTTCCAGCCTCCCAATTCTGCAGATCCTCACTCCCCCGCAGCTACAGTCTCTTGCCGCCCGCTTCCCGTCCATCGCCACACATCCGCGCATGCTGGCGCTGCGAGCCATTCAGATGCTGCCACGTGGCATGTCTCAGTGCACCTCCGCACCAACCCCAGAAAGCGTTGATCAGATCTTGAGGTTTGTTGATTGTCACGAGTGCTCTTACTATTGCCTACCTATCAGCATTATTATTCAAGTTCGTTTCACCGTGCTGATTTGTCTTTTGAGACGTTTTGAGATAATTAAAGCAGCCATGCCCCTCAATACAGAGGTTAACTACCTTGCAGCCTCTACCTCTGTGCTGCCCCTCTGTGCTCGCCTCACTTTCACTCAATTCCTTTTCTGCGCCTTTCATCCCCTTGCTTCCACCCACCAGCCATCTGGATCAGCGAAAAAACGTCCCTTCTTCCCATCACACCCTCTTCCCCTTCCTCCTCACCCACCACCAGCTACCTGGACCGCATACAACCACTGCTAACCGGTGATCACCTGAGGGCGAAGCTGCTGTTTGCGCGACTCACGCTCAGCCCCGTGCACGGCCAGGCAGAGAAATTCACCCTCCCTTCCTCCCATTCCCATGCCCACCAGCTACCTGGACCGCATCCAACCGCTCCTTACCAGCGACCACCTGAAGGCGAAGCTGCTGTTTGCGCGCCTCACAATCAGCCTTGTGAACGGCCAGGCGGACGCTGCCCTCCTCCTCGCCTTCCTCTCCCTCATCCACAACGGCCCTTACGGCGTCTTCCCCCCTGCAAGGTACGCTAAACCAGAGCAGCACCTCCTCTTCCCCCCCCTCACCTTCCTCCGTCCTCTACGCCTTCCTTTCGATCATCCACAATGGCCCTTACAGTGTCTTCCCTCCTGCAAGACAGGTTGAGTTCCTTACAGTGTCTTCCCTTACAGTGTCTTCCCTTACAGTGTCTTCCCTTACAGTGTCTTCCCTTACAGTGTCTTCCCTTACAGTGTCTTCCCTTACAGTGTCTTCCCTTACAGTGTCTTCCCTCGTGCAAGACAGGTTCAAATGAGCTTTGCAGCTCCTTTTCCCTCCCTTCTTCCTACCCCTCCTCGTCGCCTTCCTCTCCCTCATCCACAACGGTCCTTAGGTGTATTTCCGCCTGCAAGGTAGGTTGAGTTCGTTCAGAATCTTCTTTTCCCCATTTCTCCGTCCTCCACGCCTTTCTCTCACTCATCCGCAACGGTCCTTGCAGCGGCTTCCCTCCAGCACAGTAGGCTGATAGCTGAGCTGGCTTGGCCCTTTTCGTTGCTTCAAGCTCTTGCCTGCCTGCCTGCTCTGTTCGAGGAAGGGTTGAAACACCAACCTCGTTGCACAAACCCCACCCCAACCCCACCAGGCCACACGAGGAGGAGGCGTTCGCCTACTTCCCGCTCTTCGCCTCCTGCCCCTCGCCATCCGATGTCAAGGAGCTCGTAGCCCAGCTCTTCCGAAACCTCTTCTCCTCGCCCTCCTTCTCCTCCTCCCTCACCTCCCCTCCCTCCGCCTCCTCCTCTGCCTCCCATTTCGGTCTTCCTACGAGTATCACCTCTCGCTCTATGTTCCATTCGACTCCTGCCACGTCAGCAGAAGCAGCATCAGCGTCAGCGGCGGCGTCAGCTCAGTTCCCGTTTGCACCGGATTCGCCGGAGGCAGCGGCGCTGGTGGAGAGGGCCATGCACACGTGGCAGCCTTTGATTGGGCAGGGCAAGCTGGACTGGAGCTACGTGGCGCTGCTATTGGCTGAGAGCCGGCTGTGCTGCGCAGACGACCCCTTCTACCCTGTGTGAGTCTCTCGTCTCGCCATGCTTCCCTCACATCTCTGTCCGATGATCTCTATTCGTGTGCCGTGGGAATGCCCCCTTTTATCTGCTCTTGGCTGAGAGCATACTGTGCTGCGCGGACGACCCCTACTACCCCGTGTGAGTCTCTTCGATCCTCCTCTCTCCCCCTTCCCCTCACAGCTGAGCACCCCTTCACCTCACGCCCTGTCAACCCCATTTTCCCTTGCTTGCCAGTAACTCCTCCCCTCCCTCTCCAACCCCCCCTCGCAGCTGGGTACACCTCTATCTCACGTCCTATCAGCACCAGCACGCGCCTGACAACCCGACAGCTGGCAGCAGCGCATTGGCCGAGCTGACGGGGCGCTGCCAGCTGGACTTTGCCGCCCACAACCGGCGGGTGTGGCGGGCGGTGGATTCGGTGCATCTGGACGTGATTGTGAAGAACGTGCCTGTACTCGCTGTAAGCTGTACTGCTTTGAGGAGCGTATAAGGTGGAGCTTGTAAGCAGGAACGCAGTGTTTGTTGGTCTTGCGTACATACTGCAACACAAGGTGTGCTGTGCCCCGTGGTCCCACTCACTCCTCACTCAATGTGTAGTCCCACTCACTCCTCACTCAATGTGTAGTCCCTGTTTGAGCGTCACACCTCACTCAATCCGTCTCATCATTTAATCTCTTTGTTTCCCCGACTCTCTGACAGCCCTTCTTCCCCATCCCTCTCCCCCTTTTCGTCTCTTACATCTCCCTGCCAGGTGAAGCTCACCCACTGCACTATTGCTCTCCTCCGTTTCACGCTCTGGTGTAGTCAAACCCCTTTCTTTTGGCAGTACTCTGAAGTTCCCCTCAGTGCACCCTCTCCCTCCCCCTCTCTCCCTTCAGGTGAACCTATTCGACGTGCAGACGTGCAATCACTGCGGTACCAGCTCTCCTCCCCTGTGACACTCGTATACACTTTTCCCTTTTTCTGTCAAATCTTTGAATCTCGCCTGTCAATGCCCCCTCCCTCCGTCCAGGTCAAGCTGTTCGAGGTGAACTCGCTGCGCTATCTGCTCTCCTCTCCTTTGACGTTCTAATCCGCCTCTTCCTTTTTGTCACTGCTCTAAAGTCCCCCTTCAACGCTCTCCTCCCCCCTCCTCCCTCTGCGCTGCAGGTGAAGCTATTCGAGGTGGACTCTCTGCGCTATCTGCTCTCCTCGCCTCGTGACACCGAATTCTCCAACCTGGGTTCACTGCACGGCCTCAAACCATGGTATGCTTGATTGATTCACTGCACGGCCTCAAACCATGGTATGCTTGATTGATTCACTGCACGGCCTCAAACCATGGTATGCTTGTTTGATTCACTGCACGGCCTCAAACCATGGTATGCTTGATTGATTCACTGCACGGCCTCAAACCATGGTATGCTTGATTGATTCACTGCACGGCCTCAAACCATGGTATGCTTGATTGATTCACTGCACGGCCTCAAACCATGGTATGCTTGATTGATTCACTGCACGGCCTCAAACCATGGTATGCTTGATTGATTCACTGCACGGCCTCAAACCATGGTATGCTTGATTGATTCACTGCACGGCCTCAAACCATGGTATGCTTGATTGATTCACTGCACGGCCTCAAACCATGGTATGCTTGATTGATTCACTGCACGGCCTCAGACCATGGTATGCTTGTTTGATTCTTGTTTTCTTTCCTTCCATCTTTCTTTTCTTGTTTCAATTTTGGAACCATCAGTTTCAGACTGTCAGACTTTGTTTTATAACCTTCTAGATGTTGAAGCCCTACACCCTCTAGATGTTGAAGCCCTACACCCTCTAGATGTTGAAGCCCTACACCCTCTAGATGTTGAAGCCCTACACCCTCTAGATGTTGAAGCCCTACACCCTCTAGATGTTGAAGCCCTACACCCTCTAGATGTTGAAGCCCTACACCCTCTAGATGTTGAAGCCCTACACCCTCTAGATGTTGAAGCCCTACACCCTCTAGATGTTGAAGCCCTACACCCTCTAGATGTTGAAGCCCTACACCCTCTAGATGTTGAAGCCCTACACCCTCTAGATGTTGAAGCCCTACACCCTCTAGATGTTGAAGCCCTACACCTTTTGAAGCCCTACACCCTCTAGATGTTGAAGCCCTACACCCTCTAGATGTTGAAGCCCTACACCCTCTAGATGTTGAAGCCCTACACCCTCTAGATGTTGAAGCCCTACACCCTCTAGATGTTGAAGCCCTACACCCTCTAGATGTTGAAGCCCTACACCCTCTAGATGTTGAAGCCCTACACCCTCTAGATGTTGAAGCCCTACACCCTCTAGATGTTGAAGCCCTACACCCTCTAGATGTTGAAGCCCTACACCCTCTAGATGTTGAAGCCCTACACCCTCTAGATGTTGAAGCCCTACACCCTCTAGATGTTGAAGCCCTACACCCTCTAGATGTTGAAGCCCTACACCCTCTAGATGTTGAAGCCCTACACCCTCTAGATGTTGAAGCCCTACACCCTCTAGATGTTGAAGCCCTACACCCTCTAGATGTTGAAGCCCTACACCCTCTAGATGTTGAAGCCCTACACCCTCTAGATGTTGAAGCCCTACACCCTCTAGATGTTGAAGCCCTACACCCTCTAGATGTTGAAGCCCTACACCCTCTAGATGTTGAAGCCCTACACCCTCTAGATGTTGAAGCCCTACACCCTCTAGATGTTGAAGCCCTACACCCTCTAGATGTTGAAGCCCTACACCCTCTAGATGTTGAAGCCCTACACCCTCTAGATGTTGAAGCCCTACACCCTCTAGATGTTGAAGCCCTACACCCTCTAGATGTTGAAGCCCTACACCCTCTAGATGTTGAAGCCCTACACCCTCTAGATGTTGAAGCCCTACACCCTCTAGATGTTGAAGCCCTACACCCTCTAGATGTTGAAGCCCTACACCCTCTAGATGTTGAAGCCCTACACCCTCTAGATGTTGAAGCCCTACACCCTCTAGATGTTGAAGCCCTACACCCTCTAGATGTTGAAGCCCTACACCCTCTAGATGTTGAAGCCCTACACCCTCTAGATGTTGAAGCCCTACACCCTCTAGATGTTGAAGCCCTACACCCTCTAGATGTTGAAGCCCTACACCCTCTAGATGTTGAAGCCCTACACCCTCTAGATGTTGAAGCCCTACACCCTCTAGATGTTGAAGCCCTACACCCTCTAGATGTTGAAGCCCTACACCCTCCCATCTAATGTCTATCTTCTCTTCCTTCCGACCTGCACACTCTCTCAAGGTTTTCCTGATTTGTATTCTCGCCATCGTTTTTCCCCCTTTTTTGTTTCTCTTTGATGTAACAGGTATCAGCAAGAGATTCATCTGCAGCAGCAGGAACAGGAACCACAAACTCACCTCCCCACCACCACCACTACTACCACCACCACCTCCTCCTCCTCCTCCGCCTCCCCTTCCCGCCCCTTCTCCCTCATAAGGCGAATCCTGAGTGTGGATCTGCCACAGCTGGCCGGGCGGCGGGGCGTGTTTGTAGTGCAGCTGGAGGGAGGCAGGCTGTGCGCGCGGGCGATTATTCGAAAGGGCAATCTAGTGTGAGTGGACGCTAACAAGTGACACGTGTCATGCATGCATACGAGGAATGCCTATGCGCATGTTACCAGCCTTGTGTCTTGCATGTCGTCTGAGGCGCCTCAAAGGTGTTTTCAGCCTTGTGTCGTTTATGTTGCGATCCTTGTCCCACAGAGCTGCCAACTCAGACCGATCTGAGTCAATCTTGAGAATGCTAAAAGTCGTATCCGGCAATCCTTATTTCGTATCTGTTGTGTGAGCGTTGGAGTCCAAAGCTTACCCGAGTGTGTGCCTGGGCTATCAGTGGAAAGGGGCGATTCTGAGGCACCTCGAAAGTCGTCTCTTAACCCGCAAATTTGGCGCCTCAAAGTGCGCCTGGCCTGCCTATCACGTCCACCCTCACCGCTCGCGTTCTATCCATCCGCATACCCAATGAAGGCAGTGCTCTCGTGCTCTCAGTTGATGCCTTAACACCCCTCTTCACACCCTTTCACATTCTTTCACGCCCCTTTTAACAACCTCTTCCCGGCCCCAATCAGCCACACGGCCACCCTCACCCCTCGCGGACTCTCCATCCGAATGCTCAACGAAGATGGAGCTCTCGTGCTGCCCACCACTGCAACTGGAGGCTCGGATGGAGGCTCGGCTACAGCCTCGGGTGGAGGTCCGGACCAAGGCTCGGTTGGGGGAGAGCTGAGTCTGGTAGCTGGCACGAGCCTCCAGCAGGGAGTGTTGGGGGGGCGGGCGGCGAGTGTGTGGGTGGAGGGTGTGGAGTATGCGGTGGGGAGCGGTGGAGAGGTGTTGCTGCCATTCACCGCCAGCAGCAGGGAGTGCTCTCCTGTGCTCTTTGACGGGTGCCTGGCTGCCGTGGGTGCATCCGTGCAAGTCCCAGAAGAAAGGTGAGTGGAGGGAGAGGGGGAGGTGGTGTGCGTGTTACTGCTGTTAGCGGGTATTCTTTTGGGCCGGGCTCTCTCCTGTGCTCTTTGACAACTGCCTGGCTGCTGTGGGTGCATTATGCATTCACACAAGTGCCTGCAGAACAGTGGGAAGAAATGGGCGATCCAAGAGGAATTAAATGGTTCTCTTACTTCTATCGTTTTCTTTGTCAACTTTCCCCCTTTCCTCCTGCACTTTACTCCCCTTCCCCACCTCCCCCAGTTACAACCTCAACTTGCATGCCTGGCTCGATCAGCCCTTCCTCCGCCCCTCTGCTGACGTCACCATCCTCCTCCGCCCCTCCCTCACTCTCTCCCCCTCTCACTGGCACTGCTCCTCCTCTGTCCCAGCCGCCCCCCTCTCTCTCCTGCGCTCCCCTGAGCTCGTAATTTCCTGGAAGCTTCTGGAAGGCCAGGATGTGACCGTTCGCATTCCCAACCTTTCCCTCCGGCCGGATTCGGAGTTAACGCACAGGACAAAAGTGCCGGACGGCGCAGTTTGTCTGGAAGTGGCCCTCCGGGGAACAGTGGTGCTGCAGAGCAAGGGCGGGCAGGAGAAGGCACTGAGTGCAGAAGCTTCCTGGAAGGTGCTGGCGCCATTTGAGCCTGGGGGAAGGGCGGCAGCGAATGGGAGCGCGTGGGAGGGGAGTGGGGCAGGGGGAGGGGCAGGGGGCGGAGGGGGGATGATCCTGGGGGAAGTAGGGGGAGTGGAGGGGGGGGATGGGGGGAAAAAGCAGAGGCCAGTCGAAGTGGAGTCTTTGTTTTTGGAAATACGGGGTGGGGGGGAGGAAGGGATGGGGGAAGGGAAAGGGGGAGGAGCAGGGAAGGGGGGCATGGGGGGTTATGTGTTGCGCGTGGTGGGGGAAGCGGGGGAGGGGAAGGGCGGGAGGCAGGTGGTGGTGCGGCTGCAGCACCGGCTGGCCAATGAATGGTCGCCAGGTGTCGTGATGAGAAGCGACGATGAAGGGTGCGTGTATTTGGGGTGGTTGGAAGGGGTGGAGAGGGTTGGGGCGAGGCGGGTGGGGGAGTGGGAGGGAGAGGGGAAGGGGAAGGAACAAGGTGGAGGGGGAGCTAGAGGCGATAGGGCGGGCCTGGGGAAATGGGGAGAGTGGAGGGGTGGGGAAGGGGATGGGGAAGAGGAAGGGGAGGAGTGGATGGGGGGGGTGAAGGAGGAGTGGGAACACGTGTGGCATGTGCATGCACCACGGCTTGCTCTGATTGGTCCACGTGGCAGTGTGGGTGGGAGTCCAGCAGGGAAGCTGCCGTCTCACGTGGTGGTGGTGGGCGGGGAGGAGAGGGCAGGTGATGCTGCTGCTGCCGGTGATGCTGCTGCTGCCGGTGCTGCTGCTGCTGGCGGTGCTGCTGGTGATGGTGCAGCAACAGGCTCGGATAAAGTGATTCTGCGACTGCCTTATGTCTCCCATGCTGCTGCTGATGCTGCTGCTGTGGGCGGTGGTGGTGGTAATGTTGGTTCTGCTGCTGCTGCGGTTGGAACATCTGAAGCTGCTGCGGCCCCACCAGTGTCCCCGTGTCTGTTCCGTGTGGCTGCTGCATCGGAACACTCAGTCGAGAAAGTGTTCCTGGCAGACTGCACGCAGCAACTGCAGATGAAGGAGGTGAGACACAGAGAGAGACGCACAGAAATCTGCACAGAAAGATGGGTGAGGGAGAGGGGGTGAATGGATGGTGATGTGGTGTGAGACGCCTCAGCAATCTGCTGCATTGGTGTTCGCAGTTGAGAAAGTGTTCCTGGCGGACTGCACGCAGCAACTGAGGATGAAGGAGGTGAGACACGGACAGACACAGAGTGGTGAGCGAGAGAGGGTGCTGCTCTTTCCACCGTCCCAGCTCTCTCTCCTATTCCAATCCAAGCCTCCTTTCGCATTCTTCTTTCGTGTCTTACGTTTTTCGACCCTTCTTCAATCATTTTCTCCTTTGTCTACCTCCCATCTCTCGCTGCTCGTCCCCCCCTCAAACAATGCAATCTGGAGTTGCTCACAGTGCCACCAGGGGACTACTCCCTCTTCCTCCCATGTAACAACCTTACAGTTTCTATCAACGTCCTTCCCGTTCCCCCTTGCTTTCTCCCCGCCCTACCTCCACCTTTTGCCATCTCTCTCTGCTCGTCCTGCCCCAAGCAGGGCTATCTGGAGCTACTGACAGTGCCGCCAGGGGACTACTCCCTCTTCCTCCCATAGAACGACCTATCCGTTTCCATCAACGTCCTTCCCGTTCCCCCTTGCTTTCTTTCCGCCCTGCCCCCTCAAACAGGGCTATCTGGAGCTACTGACAGTGCCGCCAGGGGACTACTCCCTCTTCCTCCCATGGGACAACGAGACCATCTCCATCCGCGTCCTGCCTCCTCCCCCTTCCTCCTCCGCCCACTCTCTCCCTTCCTCCTCCGCCCACTCTCCCCCACCCTCTTCCCCACACCCCACTCCTGCATCCACCCCCGCCTCTCTCCCCTGCCCCGGCTGGGCGGTAGACTCGGCGCGCAGAGAGCTCCGGAAATTGCCGCCCAAGAGCCCGCTCACCATCTGTGCTGCTGCTGTTGGTGGGAGTGGGCTGGTGCCGGGCAGGGGGAGGGGTGGGGGAGGAGCAGGCGGGGGAGAGGGGAGGAAGGTTCTGTGGGTGAAGCTTGGGGGGTGTGGGGCGCGCACGAGAGTGCATGTGGTGGTGCGGCAAGGCATGGTGGCCGGGGCTGTTCCTGGGTTTGAGTTGAGCGTGTTTGGGGGGGGACGCGGGGAGGAGGAGGGGGGGGTGGAGGGAGTGTGGAGGGGAGGCGGGTGGGGAGGGGAAGGAGGGGAGGAGGGGAGGGTGGGGTTGGAGGAGGTGGAGAGTGAGTATGGCGAGAAGCAGCTCATGGATGAGGAGATCATGTGAGTGTAACGGGGGAAATGAATGCGAGTGTGAATAAGGGTGGTGAATGGGAATGTGACCCACCTCTTTTCTTGCCCTCCTCTCCCCTCATTTCCAGCTGTCTATAGAAGCATTGCCACAAGGTAAGGACCATTACCAGAGCCACAGAGCGGGTGAGGCACCTGCTCCCGCTGCCGTCCCCTCTCCTCCACCCGCGTGTCACCCACCCTTCCTTTCCTCTCCCTGCGCACCCCTTTCCATGCAATCCCCTTCCCTCTCCTCCAGCTATGTACAGAACCGCCAGAAGGCCCTCACCAGCAGCAGCGGAGCAGCAGAGCGTGTGGGACATCTGCTGCCCCTGCCGTCCCTGCTCATCCACCCGCGTGTCACCGCTGCCACCACCACCAAGCGCGCCCCTCCCCCTCCACGCCAGCTCCACTCTGACCCCGCTGCAAAGAAGAAGCAGCTGATGGGAGCGATGCTGCAGCGCAATCAGATGGACAAGGATATGATGGTGTGGCAGGAATGCGCATCCATGGCCATGGGTTTTGCTGCACCACAAGCCGCCATGTGTTTCGCAGGCCCGGCAGAGGGAAGGGGGATGAGGTATCGTGGTGGGGGTGTTGGTGCTGCTTGCGGCTTCGCCTCCTCGTTCCAGGCCGGCCCTCCTCCCAAACATGCCCCGCTCTTTGCACCGAATCCCATTCTTATTGCTAATCTGAGGCCGGTGGGAGGGGAGAAGAGAGTGGGGGGTGGAGGGGAGGGCGATGAGGGGGGGATGGATGGGTGGGTTGCGGTGCCAAGATCCTCCCTGCCACGTGGCGGCCTGTCATTGACTGTCGTGGCTGTGGATTCGGGGGAGAGCGCGTGGGGGTGCCAGGTGGCGCGCTGTGATTTGCTCGTTCCGGAGGAGGCCTGGGGGGAGGAGGAGAGGAGTGAGGGGGAGAAGGGGAGGGAGGAGAAGGGGAGGGAGGAGAAGGGGAGGGAGTGGGTGGTGCAGGAGGCATTGGATCCAGCTAAGCATTACCATGAGAGGAGGGCGGTGGAGGTGTGGAGGAGGGGAGAGGTGCACCGCATTGCTGACGTGGCAATGGCACAGGTGGCGGTGAGTCATTGGTGGTGGTTGTTACTCTTGTTGCTCATGCAATGATGGCATTCACCACAGCTCTTGCTGCTCCTCCTATGGAATGTCATCCTTGCTTCCTCCACTCCTTTCCTCTTCTCCATGTTCCCCATTCCACCCAGCACCAGTTCTCACCGCACCTCACCGCACTCCACCGCTCCTCCCTCCGCTTCCCCTCTGCATCTAATCCTCTCAGATATTCGACTCTATCGAGCGAGCTCACGGCCTATTGGCCAGCTTCATCAGCCCGTCAGAGCGCGACACGTGGCAGCAGCTGGCGTTCCTGCTGCAGTGGCCGGGCATGGCAGCTGGCGGCAGAGTGGACAAGCTGCAGCGCTTTGGGTCGCACGAGCTGCACCTCTTCCTCTTCTTCCATGACAACGCCTTTTTTGTGAAACACGGTAAGCAGTAGTGGAGGGGCAAGAGCTTCGGCTCGCATGAGCTGCACCTCTTCCTCTTCTTCCACGACCATGTCTTCTTTGTGAAACACGGTACTTGGGAGTTTTTTCTAGGTTTGTTTCTGTTCGTCTGACTTTTGAGTTGACTCAAAATTCAATTCTGTTCGTCTGACCATAACTCCGCCTCCCACGAGCTGCACCTCTTCCACTTCTTCCACGAGCATGCCTTCTTTGTGAAACACGGTACTTAGTGGTTTTGGAAGTTGTTTTTGTTCTTCTGTTACTCCACTTCGCACGAGCTACACCTGTCAGCCCTACGGCAGCTCACCTATTATCGAGTCGCTGCTTCTCTGCCGTGTCATCCTTCTTCTACCCCCTCCTCCCACCCCTTTCCCATTCTCTCTCCCCCATTCTTCCTGGCCCGTTGTGTGGTAGTGCACCCAGCCAGTCATCACCTCTCCTAGCTGAATCTTTCTTTGTGTTGCCTCGAGCATCCTTAACGTTTTCTTTCCTTTTGTTCTGTTTTCCTTTCCCCCTTTCCTGGCCATCCGTCTATGTGCAGTGCGGCCTGCCATTGCCTCTAAGCTGGACTGCTCCTTCCTCGACCTCTGGCTGCTGGGCGACCTTGACGGGGTGAGATGCGGTTCAGAACGGTGGGGGTGGTTTGATCCAGTGTGATTGAGCATCAGAAGGCCTGATGTGATGCGATGCAGTGTGCTTGCTTGGCTCCTTACTCCGCCACCAATGCGCCTGTCTGTCTCACATTCCTGCATTCCTGCACTCACGTTCTTCCCACCCTCTTGCTGAGTGCAACTGTAACGTGCCTCACTTCTCCTTCACTCCCCCCCACCCCACGCCCACCAGGTGTCTACCTCCTGCTGCCTGCTAGGCTATCTATCTCAGTGCCTGCCTCATCTGCTGGGGCTGGCTGTGTGCTTCCTCATGCTTCTTCCTCATCTCTAGCCCGCCTCACCCCCCTCCTTCCCCCCTCTTCTGGCCCCAAATGCCCCACCAGGTGCTTTCTCTCCTCGCCCTGCCAGCCTATCCCACACTCGATGCACTCCAGAGGTGCCTGTTGGGGCTGGCAGTGTGCTTCCATATGCTGCTCCTTCTTTCAATCTCAAAACCCCCACCCCCCCTTTTCCCTTCCCCCCCACGCCCACCAGGTGTTGTCGTTCTGCGCCCTGCCGGCCTATCTCAATCTCAACGCACTCGAGAGGTGCCTGCTGGGGCTGGCCGTGTGTTTCCACATGCTGCTGCAGCACAGGGGGCAGCGACCTCTAGACTGGCCGTACCAGACCCACCTCATCCATCCCTCTGAAGGTAAGGCTGTGTCATATAGTATGGCATGTGGCTGCTGCTCTGTTTTCTGCTTGGGCAGAGGCTGGGACTGTCAGTGTGCTTCCACGTGCTGTTGCAGCACCGGGGGTTGCGATGCGACCCCTGGACTGGCCATGGCAGACCCACCTCATCCATCTCTCTAAAGGTAAGGCTGTGTCGTATGGCATGTGGCTGCTGCTCTGTTTTCTGTTTTCTGTTTTCAGCACCGGGGGTTGCGACCTCTGGAATGGACTGCCCATGGCAGACCGCACCTCATCCATCTCTCTAAAGGGAAGCCTGTTGTGGCTGCTCTGCTCTGTACGCTGCTTGGACTTCACCACTTCTTACGCCTTCCCTGCTCCCTTCTCTCTCCTTTGATCCTGGACGATTTAACTATCCTGTTAGCACCACCCACACCATCACGAGCAGCGCATGCAGCAGCAGCCTCCTACGCTCGCTCCACCACTGCCCTCCTCTTGTCCCCACTTGTCGCCCCTCCTCTCCCTTGTCGCCCCTCCTCTCCCTTGTCTCCCCTCCTCTCCCTTGTCTCCCCTCCTCTCCCTTGTCTCCCCTCCTCTCCCTTGTCGCCCCTCCTCTCCCTTGTCGCCCCTCCTCTCCCTTGTCGCCCCTCCTCTCCCTTGTCTCCCCTCCTCTCCCTTGTCTCCCCTCCTCTCCCTTGTCTCCCCTCCTCTCCCTTGTCTCCCCTCCTCTCCCTTGTCGCCCCTCCTCTCCCTTGTCGCCCCTCCTCTCCCTTGTCGCCCCTCCTCTCCCTTGTCGCCCCTCCTCTCCCTTGTCGCCCCTCCTCTCCCTTGTCGCCCCTCCTCTCCCTTGTCGCCCCTCCTCTCCCTTGTCGCCCCTCCTCTCCCTTGTCGCCCCTCCTCTCCCTTGTCGCCCCTCCTCTCCCTTGTCGCCCCTCCTCTCCCTTGTCGCCCCTCCTCTCCCTTGTCGCCCCTCCTCTCCCTTGTCGCCCCTCCTCTCCCTTGTCTCCCCTCCTCTCCCTTGTCTCCCCTCCCTTATCCCCCCGTTCACCCCACTGTCTCCTTCTCCCCCATTTCAGTCCTGGACGATCTAATCACGCTGGCAGCACCACCCACGCCAGCGCTAGCAGCGCAGGCAGGAGCAGCGTGTTAGCCTTTTCACGCTAGCACCAGCAGCGTGTTAGCCTTTTCACGCTAGCACCAGCAGCGTGTTAGCCTTTTCACGCTAGCACCAGCAGCGTGTTAGCCTTTTCACGCTAGCACCAGCAGCGTGTTAGCCTTTTCACGCTAGCACCAGCAGCGTGTTAGCCTTTTCACGCTAGCACCAGCAGCGTGTTAGCCTTTTCACGCTAGCACCAGCAGCGTGTTAGCCTTTTCACGCTAGCACCAGCAGCGTGTTAGCCTTTTCACGCTAGCACCAGCAGCGTGTTAGCCTTTTCACGCTAGCACCAGCAGCGTGTTAGCCTTTTCACGCTAGCACCAGCAGCGTGTTAGCCTTTTCACGCTAGCACCAGCAGCGTGTTAGCCTTTTCACGCTAGCACCAGCAGCGTGTTAGCCTTTTCACGCTAGCACCAGCAGCGTGTTAGCCTTTTCACGCTAGCACCAGCAGCGTGTTAGCCTTTTCACGCTAGCACCAGCAGCGTGTTAGCCTTTTCACGCTAGCACCAGCAGCGTGTTAGCCTTTTCACGCTAGCACCAGCAGCGTGTTAGCCTTTTCACGCTAGCACCAGCAGCGTGTTAGCCTTTTCACGCTAGCACCAGCAGCGTGTTAGCCTTTTCACGCTAGCACCAGCAGCGTGTTAGCCTTTTCACGCTAGCACCAGCAGCGTGTTAGCCTTTTCACGCTAGCACCAGCAGCGTGTTAGCCTTTTCACGCTAGCACCAGCAGCGTGTTAGCCTTTTCACGCTAGCACCAGCAGCGTGTTAGCCTTTTCACGCTAGCACCAGCAGCGTGTTAGCCTTTTCACGCTAGCACCAGCAGCGTGTTAGCCTTTTCACGCTAGCACCAGCAGCGTGTTAGCCTTTTCACGCTAGCACCAGCAGCGTGTTAGCCTTTTCACGCTAGCACCAGCAGCGTGTTAGCCTTTTCACGCTAGCACCAGCAGCGTGTTAGCCTTTTCACGCTAGCACCAGCAGCGTGTTAGCCTTTTCACGCTAGCACCAGCAGCGTGTTAGCCTTTTCACGCTAGCACCAGCAGCGTGTTAGCCTTTTCACGCTAGCACCAGCAGCGTGTTAGCCTTTTCACGCTAGCACCAGCAGCGTGTTAGCCTTTTCACGCTAGCACCAGCAGCGTGTTAGCCTTTTCACGCTAGCACCAGCAGCGTGTTAGCCTTTTCACGCTAGCACCAGCAGCGTGTTAGCCTTTTCACGCTAGCACCAGCAGCGTGTTAGCCTTTTCACGCTAGCACCAGCAGCGTGTTAGCGTGAAAGGGGAGTGGCAGAGTGTCACCACAGCCCTCGCCAGCCACTCACCATCAGCCTTTTCCCCTTTCTCCCCTCTTTCTCCCCCCTTTCTCCCCCCCTTCTCCCCGCCTTCTTCCCCCTTCTTCCCCCTTCTTCCCCCTTCCAGTCCTGGACGATCTTATCACGCTGGCAGCACCAACAACACCAGCGCTAGCAGCGCAGGCAGCAGGAGCCTCTTACCGTCGCTTCACCACAGCTCTCGCCAGCCGCAGCGACCTCCGCCCCCGTGCCGCACCCCCCGCCGAACCTCCCGCCAAACCTGCTGCCGAACCTGCATCCCAACCCAAAGGCGCTCCTCCCCCTCCCCCTTCCGCTGCTCCCCTTCCCCCTGCCCCGGGCGCTGCCTCTTTCGGGGGCTTTGGAGGGACGCCCCCTCCTCCTCCCCCGGCTACGACTCGATTTAGCTCTGATGCTGTATTAATTGAGCAGGTGAGAACACCGGCAACGTTGGTTGGTACCGGTCAGTTCTGCCTGTGTTGACTTTGCCGCATCCATGTGACATGTGGATTGCTCATCCCCTCGTCCTCGCCTCCCCGACGCTGCCCGCAACATATGGTGCGCCTGGGGAGGTGAGGCACCAACGATGCTGGGGAGGTAAGACGTAGCTTGGGGGCTGCGTGTGGGACATGCTCGAAGTGGATGTGAGTCACATTGTTCACATTGCGGGACATTGGGTGAGTCATTACAATGGGTGGGTCATTACAATGGGTGAGTCATTACAATGGGTGGGTCATTACAATGGGTGAGTCATTACAATGGGTGAGTCATTACAATGGGTGGGTCATTACAATGGGTGAGTCATTACAATGGGTGAGTCATTACAATGGGTGGGTCATTACAATGGGTGAGTCATTACAATGGGTGAGTCATTACAATGGGTGAGTCATTACAATGGGTGAGTCATTACAATGGGTGAGTCATTACAATGGGTGAGTCATTACAATGGGTGAGTCATTACAATGGGTGAGTCATTACAATGGGTGAGTCATTACAATGGGTGAGTCATTACAATGGGTGAGTCATTACAATGGGTGAGTCATTACAATGGGTGAGTCATTACAATGGGTGAGTCATTACAATGGGTGGGTCATTACAATGGGTGAGTCATTACAATGGGTGAGTCATTACAATGGGTGAGTCATTACAATGGGTGGGTCATTACAATGGGTGAGTCATTACAATGGGTGAGTCATTACAATGGGTGAGTCATTACAATGGGTGGGTCATTACAATGGGTGAGTCATTACAATGGGTGAGTCATTACAATGGGTGAGTCATTACAATGGGTGAGTCATTACAATGGGTGGGTCATTACAATGGGTGAGTCATTACATCATCCTCATTGCTCTAGGCGCCTCATGCAGGTCCCACATGCCACAGGGTGGCGAGGTGGGTGTGTGGTTTGGATGAGATAGAACGTGATTTCGTGGTGTACTGTACTGTACTGTACTGCAGTGGGCAGGGTGGGAAACTATCCTAACACCGTCTCCCCACTGCTACTCCTCCTTCTGCTGCTGATGCTGCTGCTCCTGCTGCTCCTGCTGATGCTGCTACTCCTCCTGCTGCGGGACTGCTGGCTGCTTCGCGGTGATGCTTGTGCTGTGTGCAGTCACTTGTGCTGTGTGCAGTCACTTGTGCTGTGTGCAGTCACTTGTGCTGTGTGCAGTCACTTGTGCTGTGTGCAGTCACTTGTGAGACGTCTCAAAAGTCTGCTGGCTGCTTCACGGTGATGCTTGTGCTGTGTGCAGTCACTTGCAGAGGAGGATGAGGACGACGAAGAGGAGGAGGAGGAGGAGGAGGAGGAGGAGGAAACTGAGGATAGCGACGTGGATGAGGAGGAAATGGGACTGGGTGATGAGTATGCAGATGGTGGTATATACGAGGGTGATACATACGAGGGTGGTACATACGAGGACGATGGAGGCTTTCTGGTGTTGGAGGAAGAGAAGTTGGAGAAGAAACGGAGCAAGGTATGGGAAGGGGTAGGCCGTAGGTGGTACAAGGTATTTGTCTGTTGATACTTGGTTGCAGAGGTCTCAGAAACTTTTCTCTTCTTCCTCTCTTCCAATCTCCCTGCAGCCTCAGATGCGTTACCTGTCTGCAGCACCAGGAGGGGGGGGGGGAGCAGCAGGGGGGTTGCATTTCAGCTGCGATGGATGTGGTACCAACCCAATCAGGGGACCCCGCTACCGCTCTCTTGTGTATGTCCCTTCCCTCTCTGCTGCCTCTCTGCTCCCTCTCTGCTCCCTCTCTGCTCCCTCTCTGCTCCCTCTCTGCTCCCTCTCTGCTCCCTCTCTGCTGCCTCACTGCTGCCTCTCTGCTGCCTCTCTGCTGCCTCTGCTCGCTCTTTGCTCCCTCTTTGCTGCCTGCCGCTCTGCTTGGATCAGAACACATGGGACCGTGCCACCGCTGGTTTGTTTGCATCGCTCTCTTTTGCCTCTCTACCTCGCTGTCCGCTCACATCAGAGCGCATTGCACCCCAATTCTCCTCTCTCCAGGGCCCACTGTACTCATGATCGCAGTTACAATTTCCACCAGGTGTAGACCCTTATCAGCTGCTTGTCTTTTATGTCTCCATGTCTGTTTTCCGCTCTCATTCTATGCATTATTTATAAAGTCTGAAGGAAAACTTCAAACACAGTTGGCCTTATCCGTACCGGTTCCGTTGCTCATACCCCTTCCCCCGGCAACCCACCCCTCCGTCTACCCCCCAGTCATGACGATTACGATCTCTGTGCGTCCTGCTTCGCCACCATGGGCACATCGGGCGAGTACCAATCCTGTCAGTCCCATCCCTCTCTCACTTACCATTTTCCCACCATTCCCCGTAACCCTCCCCCACACCCTCCACCATCAGCCGGGACGACTACGATCTCTGTGCGTCCTGCTTCGCCACCATGGGCACACCGGGCGAGTATCAGCGCTTTGACTCCGGCCCCTCCTTTGGAGCAGCAGCAGCTGGGGAATTAGAGGAGGCTGTGCCCGTTCCATCAGCGCAGCAGGTGAGAGCACAGGTGCTACTGCTTTCAATCTGTCCCGTTCTCTGCACGGGAAATGGCAAAGGGAGTGACTGCACAGAGAGGGATCAATGTACTCTTCGCACCCGAGAGAGAGTTCAGCGGCGTGGTTGGAGAAGCTGCTCTGCCTCTGCAACAGGCAAGAGTATGGGTACTACCGCTTTCACTCTGGCCCTTGCTTTGGTGCAATGGTGCTGCAACAGCTGTGAGTGAAAATGCCTCTCTGCCTCTTGTGCCAATGCAACAGGTGGGAGGATGGGTACAACCGCTTTCACTCTGGCCCTTGCTTTGGTCCTGCAACAAGCATGCAATCTCTCCCTTTGCCATTTCCCTTTTCTGTTTTCTTGCTGAAGCTACTTTCCTCGCTCCTTTTGTTTTAAAAACTCTCAGAACCCAACTAGAGTGTTTCTTCTTCTTCTTCTTCTGCTTCTTCTTCCTTTCGTTCCCTTCTCTCCCCTCCCACCCACCCCAGCGCCCTCACAAAGTGGGTGTCACCAAGCGCTACGCGGAGACGCACAATCTAACCTATTGTACATCCCTCCTCTTTTGCTTTCCTGCTGCCCCTCACTTCTCTCCCCTCCTACCAGCGCCCCCACAAGGTGGACGTCACCAAGCGCTACGCGGAGACGCACTATTACAAGCGTGCACTCAGCGAGCAGACACCGGACCTCATCCCCTCCTCTCCCTTCTGGGTCGACTTCATGCGCCACATCCTCTCTTCTGCCGAAGCTGCTGCCAAACCTGCTGCCGAACCTGCCACCGAGACTGTCTCAGCAGCAAGCAGCTCTGCGCTTGCCTCGCTCTGCTCCTTTGCTCTCTCCCTCCCTCCCTTCGTCCCTGCATCGCTGCACGATGTTGCTTCCTCCTCCACTGCTGCTCTCTCTGCTCTTTCCATTCTTGGCCTCCGCTTCGGCGGCAAGATCAGGCAAACCGGTGCTTATAACGAAGAGACTGGTGGGAGGGTGGGCGGGGGAGGTGGGTCTGCTGGCGCAGTGGAAGGGGGGGAACATGGGTTTTCGTTTAGAGGCACGTCGGTTACAATCACACCAGCATCACCCATGGTGGTGTACAAGCAGGAGTTGTGTGAGGTGGGGAGTGGTGCAGCGGCAACAGAAGAAACAGCAGCAGCAAAAGCTCCTCCTTTCCCGCTCCTCCCCTCCCTTGCTCCTGGAATCCCCTCCATCCTTCTCTCTCAGTCCATTCACACTCTCCTCGCCCCGCCCTCCTCCTCCTCCCCTTTCACCCCCCACTCCTCCTCCCTCCTCTCCTCCACCACCCCCTTCCCCCTCTTCCACTCCTCCCTCTCCACCACCCCATCCATCCACCCCTCCTCACTCCCCTCCACTCCTCCATACCGCACTGGCATCTGCTACCTCCTTCAAATCGTAATTGTCAATCTCCAGTCCGCCCCGCTCCCCCCGCTGCTGCTATTATTCCAAGTTCCCCAGGGTTCCGTGCCTATTTCCCCTCTCGGCCGCCCCACCCAGCGCCTCCGCCTGCCGCCGCTGCAGCCCTTCCAGAAGCGAGTCTTCACTGCTCTCTTCTACTTCCCCTTTCCTGGAAGCTTCTCGCTCTTCCCTGCGCACCTGCTGCCTGAAGCTGGGTCAGGCGGAGGGGGCGGGGGAGAGGGAGGGGCAAGGGAGGAGGAGGGCGGGGCAGACGTGGGGGTGGTGGCAGTGGCAGCAGGGGTACCGGCATCGATCCCCGTCCTCTCATCGTCTGAATACGAGAAGATGGAGATGGAGAGGCGAGAAGCCCTCCTTCAGCAGCACCTGCAGGCAGAATCAGCACAATCAGAATCATCAGCAGCAGCAGCTGCAGACAGGCAGAAGCAGCAAGCGGGAGGCAAGGCACAGTCAGCAGCAGAGGAGGCAGCGCAGAGGGCGGAGCTGTGGGAGGTGATCTGCCAGTCGGGCAGCGAGCCGGACATCCTCCGCATGCTGCAAGGCCCCTCCCTGCGCTCCCTCGACCTCGCGCTCCTCCTCCCCCTCATGCCCCACGCGCCCCTCTACCACTCCGTCACCTCCCTCCTCCGCCGTCGAAAGCTCTTCTCTCCCGCCATCTGGCAATACTCGCTCTTGCACCAGGACCCTCGGGGGATGTCGGAGTATTTGGCTTATGAACCGGCCTTCCTTGCTCGGCTCTCCTCCCCGGTTCTCCACTCCTCTCTGCTGCATATCGAGCCGGGTGCGGCAGGGGCGAGGCTTTCGCTCCGGTATCGGCTCAATGGGAGCGCCGGTGTGCTAGGCTCAGGGGTAGGTTTGGGGCTAGGTCCGGTGTACGAGCATGAGGAGTTCCTGCCGCTGCTGAACCCCCGGGCGCACAGGTTCGGAATGAGTGGTTCAGATGGGGAGAGGAGAGGGAAGAGGGTCCAGGGCGAAAGCAAGGGAGAGGGGAGAGCAGAGAGTGAGGAGGGAGGGTGGGTGGAGGATCCGGGGGTGAACGACATATGGAACGAGCAGCTATTGGAGCATTACAGTCGGTTCTTGGAGGTGTGTGCAAGGAGGAAGGGCGGTATGAGCGCACAGGAGTGCCTGGCAGCCGCATACTACCTGCTGGTTCAAGACCGAGTCAAAGAGGCCCACCTCATGTTTCTCCGGGCAGCCTCCGGAAAGATTTTCGCCCTGCCCGACATGTGGCGGGCAGCGCTGTGCGGTGGGAATGGGAGTGCTGCTCCTGTTGGGGCTGGTGCAGAGACTCCTGCTGAAGCTCCTGCTGAGGGTGCTGAGGGCGGCGAGAGGTCTGCTGCTTCTGGTGTTGGTACCAATACCAGCAGCACCAGTAGCAGCGCTGTCCCCTTCACTGACCTCCCTGCTACAGTGAATGTGCAGCTGGCAGCAGATTACATGGCGGCCTTTCTCGACATTCTCCTCTGCCCGACCGACCGCCTGCCTGTGGTCGCCCGGGCAGTTGCGAAAAAGTACCGAGCTGTGGACAGGAATGGCGGCAGCAGTGGAGGAAGCTGCCCGGTGGTTTCCTGGAGAAAGCGCTTTGCTGACCTGGGCAAGCAGGTGTATGAAATTTGGATGGCTGCGCGAGCTGCCCGGGCTGCCCGGGCAGGGGGGCGTATCATTGCACAGAGTGGTGTGGAGGGGCATGGAGTGGCTGGGATGGAAGGGCAGGCGCAGAGTGATAAGAGAATGGAAGGAGGAGGTGGAGGAGAGGGGGTTGGTGGGGGTGGCGATGCATGGGAGTGGGAGGAGGACGATGACTGGGTGCTCACAGGCGGTCAGGCCCCAGCAGGGGCAGCAGGAGGAGGAGGAATTGAAGCAGTGGGAGAAGGGGCAGCAGCAGCAGCAGCAGCAGCAGCAGCAGCAGCAGCAGCAGCAGCAGCAGCAGCAGCAGGAGGAGGAGGAGGAGGAGAAGCAGCAGCAGGAGGAGAAGCAGCAGCAGGAGGAGCAGGAGGAGCAGCAGCAGCAGTTGAAACAACAGCTGCTGCGGACGAGGACATTGCTGACGTGGCACAGCTGGTGGAGGCAGCGGAGGGGGACAGCACAGCAGTGGACCCGTTCTCCTTGAAGAAGAGCTCCGGACCCAAACCCTCCCAGGAGCCCTTCCTGGACGCCAAGCTGCTGCCCCCTGCTGCTGCTTCTGGCACAGCCAGCCCTGAACTCGGTACAGTCACGCCGGGTACAGTCACGGCAGCGGCGGTGGCGGCGGCGGTGGTGGGGGTGCGGTATGCGAACGTGGGGAGCATCCGAGTGGACGTGTTTGCGTTCGACGAGGAGACCTTCTTCTCCTCCTCGCCCTTCTCCCTGCTCTCAGGCGCAGCAGCAGCTGGTGGGGAAAGCAGTGTGAAGGATGGCAGGCGTGGCAGGGATGGGAAGGCAGGAGGAGAGGGTGGCAATGGGGTGGGCGGGCCCTCGTCCATCTTCGTGGCTCCGAATTGGTCCACAGTTGTCAGCACTGGCAGTGGCAGAAGTGGCATTGGTGGTGCAGCTGCTGGTACAGGCTGCAGCAGAGGTAGCAGTGGCAGCATAGGCAGCAGTGGCAGCAGAGGCAGCAGTGGCAGTGTGGTGGTGGCGTTGCCAGCGGAGTTTGATTCAGAGGCAGTGCTCATCACTGTCTCGTCGGGTGCTCTCACCACCACTCTCCTCAGGTCCGTATTCTCACTCAAGTCATTCCCCATTTTTCCGTCTGTGCCCTCTCTGCTCGTCCTGTCCACTGTGTTCTTCTCATCTGCCACATGCTCTTACCTCACATTCCCTTGATTTCGACCCATGGATTCCCCTCACGTCCTCTCTCTCCCAACCCCTTCACCACAGGCCGGTGCATGAGTCTCTTGTGGTAGAGGTAGTGGAGAGGCTGGGTCAGCTGAGAGTGCTTCACCGCATTCCCAAATCTGCGCCAGCACCTGCCGATGGGTCTTCGGGCAGTGGGCAAGCAGGAGCAGTGGAAGGCAGGCTGGAGTCAGCTCAGGGAACTTTGGTGCCGCTGCCCGGAGCGTATGTGAAAGTTTTCTTCCGCCCGAAGTCGCGAGGGGTTTCCTACCTTCTCAGCGGCAGTGCAGGGGAGGAGAGGGGTGGGGCGGAGTTTTACAAGGATGGGTACACGGACAGGCGTGGGTGGTTTGACTATGCGTTTGTGAGCACGGAGGATGTGGAGAAGGTTGATATGTTTGCTGTGCTTGTGACTAAAGAGGGGGCGGGTTCAGTTGTGCACCATGTGAAGCCTCCCAAGGTTTGATATGGATGTGGGTCTGGAAGGAACTCTTATGGTGCTTCGCAAAATATTGTGCACATTTGTCTTTTTTATTGGATGCTAGTACTTTTTGGAGTGTAAATACTTCGCGAAAGTTTGATTTTCTAGGCCTGATGGCAAGACATGTACGCATGATTCTGATTAGTGTGTTGCCTCCGAGTTGGTCTAAATTATTATAGGTTCCCTGTGTTCGGGCGAAGAATATATAGCGAAACTACAGTGGTAACGGTAATGGACTGTGGTTGTCGCGCGTCGGGCCTGGGACTGAGGTTTGGGAAAATGTCGAAGCGGAGGCCCGCAGCGCGGGTTACCCGCCGAGCTGTGAGGTCGGGGTGCGACATGCGAAGGTGGTGGGAGGATTGTCGATGCGAGGGTTTGCGAGTGGTAACGGTGCTGACTGTGGTGCTACAGTGCTGTACGCACGCGCCGAGCGGGGACGCGAAGTAAGGAAAATGAATTTTCCTTACACTACCCCGCCCCCCCCTAAGGAGGTCCTCCTTACGAAAGTGCGTGTACATCCCTGAAGTTTCGGCTGCGCAGATACTCTGTGAGGACGGGGTGATTTTTGACTCTGTCCAGGGGAATCCAGTTGTCTTCGGTGGGTGTACGGTCTTTCCAGCGGATCAGGAACTCAATCCTTCGGGCTCCTCGAGGGTCGCGAACTCTGTGGCTCAGAATTTTCTCGGGTGTGATTATTGGTTCAGCCGGCGGTCGAATCATGCTGGCTGGGCGGTTGCGTGGCAGTTGGCTTGTGGACGGGACGTAAGGGCGAAGCAGGCTGACGTGGAATGAGGGGCTGACGTACCAGTCAGCGGGGAGGAGGAGGTGGGCGGTGACGGGCGTAATCATGTGGCTTATGCGAAATGGCTCGCAATATCGGGGGCGGAGTTTTGGGGTGATGGGCAGGCAGAGGTTCTGAGTGTCGAGTAAAACTAGGTCGTCAGGTTGGTAAGTGATAGGTCGGCGGTGGCGGTCGGCATTACGTTTAGCGATGATGTTCGATTTATTTATTGCGTCTGCTGCCCACGTCCGTGCTGCTTGTAAAATTTCGGCGGACTGTTGTGCTCGTGGCACCGGGTTGTCGGGATTCGGGGTCATGGGTACTGTCGGGTCTTGTCCGTAGTTCAGGTAAAACGGTGACTGTTGGGTCGTGGCGGATGGTGAGTTGTTGTATGCGAACTCAATGAGTGGCAGCTACTGTTCCCAGGTGGTTGGGTCGTCGCACGTGGCTCGGATGAGTTGCTCCATAGTCTGGTTTGTCCGTTTTGTCTGTCCGTCGGTTTCGGGGTGGTACGAAGAACTGAACTGTAGTCGCGTGCCGAACTGCTACCACAGGTTCCGCCAGAAGTTGCTGGTGAATTTCGTATCGCGGTCGCTGATGATCGCTGATGGTATCCCGTGCAGTCGAACGACGGGGGAGATGAAGAGTCGAGCTGTGTCTTCGGCTGTGAATGATTTTTTGCAGGCTGAGAAATGTGCCATTTTCGTCAGTCGATCGACGACGACCAGGATCGCGTCATTCCCACTCGCCCCAGCCGGTAACCCCGTGACGAAGTCCATCGTCACCTGCTGCCAAGCACGCTCTGGGGGTGGTACCGGCTGCAACTGTCCTGCCGGCCGCTGCCGTGATGATTTCATGAGCTGGCAAGTGGGACACGATGCCACGTGTCGTTGTACGTCGGTCAACATCTCGAGCCAGTAATGATACCGCTGAAGCTGCTGCCGTGTTTTCTCTACCCCGAAATGCCCCGAGGTAACCCCGTTGTGTGCCTCCGGTAACAGTTATTCCTGTAGCAGTGTATACCCAGGCACCCAGATGCGGTCGGTCCCGGCTTTTACGTAATAGACTCCCCTTGCTGCTGCGAACTGCCGCGAATTTCCTCTGTCAGAACATATAGCTTATACATTTGTGTAGGCTGTAGTGGGGTAGCCCATATGGGGTACAACCCAATTAGGGTTAGTACTTGTACCCAACTCTTTCATAGTTGAATCATTCTCGTTTCAATTCTCACATGGTATCGAGCAGGTTCCCTCGTGGGAACTGTTCCTAAGGCCCTACTACTGCTTCCGCTGCTACTCGATCTGTCGCACGCCCTGCGGCATGCGACCTATTTTCATCTCGCCGCGCGCCGTTGGCGGCCCGACTTATTTCTTTCTGGCGCGCGACCCCGCCTCTCTCGTCGCGGCCCCGCCCCTTGTCGCGGCCCCGCCCTACGTCGCGGCCCCGCCCTACGTCGCGGCCCCGCCCCTCGTCGCGGCCCCGCCCACTCTCATCGCGGCCCCGCCCTTCGTTGCGGCCCCTGCCACCCTTCGTCGCGGCCCTTGCCGCCCTTCGTCGCGGCCCCTGCCGCCCTTCGTCGCGGCCCCAGCCGCCATTCTCCACCGCGGCCCCGCCACCTCCCTTGCGGCCCCGCAGCCCTGCACCGACCCGGCCCCGCCTCTGCTGGCCCCGCCGCCTGCCCCTGCGGCCCTGGCTCCACCTCTGCCGGCCCCGGCGCCGCCTCTGCTGGCCCCGTTGCCGCTCCACCCGGCCCCGCCGCCGTCCCCAGGCGGCCCCGCCGTCACCACCGAGCCGCCGGCGCCGCCGAGCTAGTGCCGAGTCACCCGAGCCGCCCGAGCCGCCCGAGCCACCCAAGCCGCCCGAGCCGCCCGAGCCGCAGCGCCACCTCAGTCGCCCGAGCCGCCGGGTTGCCGAGCCGCCGAGCTGCAATTGCTGTCGAGCAGCCGTACCGCCGAGCCGCCGAGCCGCCCGAGTCGCCCGAGCAGCCGAGCCGCCCGAGTCGCCCGAGCCGCCGAGCCGCAGTTGCTGCAGTGCCGCCGTGCCGCCGAGTCGCCGAGTCGTCGAGCCTGCTCTTCCCACCAATGGTGAGCCTCTGCCTTACTAGCGTGCTGCCTGCTGCTTGCTTGGCTGCCTGCCTTACTGCTGCTACTCCTGCTCCTGCTTCTACAGACGGCGGCCAGATGCAGCTCCAGCGACGCCCACGCGCGTCTCTCATGCCCCAGCAGCTTCGTGAGTGGTACGCTCAGAGTAGAGGGTCTCTTAGTTCAGTTCGCTGCTCTTACGTGATTCGCACTGGTGCTCGGACTGGTCAGCCTTGTGGGACGCCTAGTCTAACACCGTCCCGCTACTTCGCCCGTCTGAGCGACACCTGGCGTACCGAGTTTGGCGACGAGGCTGAGCTCCCCGACTGGGTGGAGTTGCTTAGGCAGAGGGTAGATATATTTGCTCTTGACTATGATGCCATTCTCACTGCCATGTACGCATTGCCTACTAGTGCTGACCGTGCCGGTCACCTGTGCGTACCGCCTGACCCGGGTATAGAGCCTGCTGCTCTAGCTGCTGGTGCGACTGCTGCTCTAGGTGCTAGTGTGTCTCCTGCTCCAGGTACAGGTGCGGCTGCTGCTCTAGGTGCTAGTGAGTCTTCTTCCTCAGGTGCGGGTGAGTCTGCTCTCTCAAGTACCGCGTCGGCTCCGGCCTCTCACACCTTCACCCTTGACTCGGGGGCTTCCCGCTCCTTCTTTCGAGACTGCACCACACTCACGCCGCTTGGTCGGCCAGTTGCACTCTCTCTGGCAGACCCCTCTAGGGGCCCTGTCCTTGCTCACTTCTCACTGTCCTCCCGTGTCCGGCGGCCCCCTCTGGCACCCTGTCTCGTCTTTACCTCCCCTCGTTCTCTACGAACTTGGTGAGTGGTGCAGACCTGCAGGATGCGGGGGATCACCAGTTCACTCCTACGAGTCAGCGGGTGACCCACAGCACGGACGCTCGGACAGGCCGACACCTGGCCACGTTTACTCGTCGGCCGGGGTCGAGCCTGTACACACTGACCACTGAGTCTCCTCCAGTTTGCGTCGGGTAGGGTGTTTGCTGCAGCGTCCAGGTCTGGTCCTGAGTCTGCCCCCTGTTCGTGTCGTCTCCAGTCTCACGAGACTCTCCTCTGGCACCACCGCCTTGGTCACCCCTCTCTGCTTCGGCTCAGAGGCATGGCCTCTCGTCTTCTTGTTTCTGGTCTCCCCCGGTCCCTCCCTCCCCTTCCTCAGGGCCCTGGCCCTACCTGTGTCCCCTGTGTCGAGGGGCGCCAACGTGCTGCCCCTCACTCCTCCCACTTTCCTCCCACAGAGGCCCCGTTGCTAACGCTTCACATGGACGTGTGGGGCCCAGCCCGCGTCCGTGGACAGGGTCTCGAGCGCTACTTCCTGCTAGTTGTTGACGACTACTCGCGTTACACCGCAGTCTTCCCCTTGCGCAGCAATGGTGATGTCACTGAGGTGCTGATCGACTGGATCCGCGCAGCTCGTCTCCAGCTCAGGTAGAGCTTTGGCTCGGACTTTCTTGTTCTGCGTCTGCACTCGGACAGAGGCGGAGAGTTTTCCTCTGGCCTTCTGAGAGCCTACTGTTGCGCACGGGGCATCCGTCAGACCTTCACGCTTCCGGACTCTCCGCAGCAAAATGGGATTGCTGAGCGCCGCATTGGCATGGTCATGGACGTCGCTCGTACGTCTATGATGCAGGCGGCTGCCCCCCCATTTTCTGTGGCCGTTTGTGGTCAGGTACGCGGCGCATCAGATCAACCTTCACCCCAGGGTCTCCAGGCTGGAGACCTCCCCAGCCTTGCTATGGACGGGGAAGGTTGGCGATGCGTCGGCGTTCCAGTTCTGGGGATCTCGGGCGTTTGTCTGCGACTTGTCTGCGGAAAAGCTGTCCCCTCGTGCTGCTCCTTGCGTCTTCCTGGGGTTCCCCCCTGACGCGCCTGGGTGGCAGTTCTACCACCCCACCTCTCGCCGTGTTCTGTCCTCCCATGACGTCACGTTTGACGAGTCGGTCCCCTACTACCGCCTCTTCCCCTACCGCACTCCGTCCCTCCCCCCGCCCCCGCTCTTCCTTGTACCAGGTCCCCCCCAGGTAGACCCCCTCCCCCCTCAGGGTCCTGCCCCTTCAGGTGTGTCCCAGGTAGACGCAGTCGAGCCTGTCGAGGTTACTGGTG